TATTCTATTACCATTATCTATAAAATAGCACGGAGACTTAAATACAAATATATATATATGTATATATATATATATATATATATATATATATATATATATATATATATATATATATATATATATATATATATATATATATATATATATATATATATATATTTTTTTTTTTTTTAAATACAAAAAGTTTAACTTTTTGCAGTGATGTTGTTCCAACAATAATTAATTTTTTTATAATGGTAATATGGAGTAATAAAAATCTATGCTTTCAATTATGCATTCTCTGGGCTCATTTTTTATATATTTCTCATTTCCCATAATGCCTAATATTTAAACGCTAGTTTAAAAATTTTTGAAAGCTTGATCACTCATAATTTTTTTTTAAACATTACCTACACTCTCGCGGAAAGTGTGGAGTTTTCCCTCACACCGGTGTGTAGCTATCACTCCTAGACGCAAGTGTGGAGTTATTTTGTACACTTTTGTAGAAATTAACTTTTTCTAACTCGACTTCTGTACAGAAGTGTGGAGTTATTTGCACAAAATTGTGCAAAATAACTCCTCACTTGTGTCTAGGAGTAATAGCTACACACCGGTGTGGAGAAAAACACTTTCCGCAAATGTGTATCCAGTTTCTTTAGATTATTAAAATTACTCTTTAAAAGATAAGATACCTTGTGATATTTAAAGATACCTTTTATGTTTCAAGATAAATTTACTTAATGTATGCTCTAAATTCATAAATGTGTGTTTTCAACTTTGATTTTTTGACAAAAGAAGAGTTTTCCTGAGCATTATAACTGAGTTTAAAATCAAAAGTTTACAATAATGACTTTCCTAATGTTAAAAGGTCAAAAGGTTGACCAACCAAAACTCAAGCTATTAACATTACAATATATAAAAGTAAGCGTGATCAAAAGGTCACAGCTAACACACATGCATTGGTCCAGCGAATGTAAAACCATCGCTGTCGCATGTCGCATGTCGCTAATGTCGAGAGTTTATTCTGATGCAAATCCAACGTTGATCTAATGTCATGTTTTAAGCAATGATATCAATAAAAAGAGTTCATATCAATACAAC